GCTCCATGACACGTCAGGGCTCTTACGATCATTGCGTACCCAGCATCGACCGGAGTTTTAACATGACTGGGAAGCCTTATGTTCTTACATAGACCGTCTCCTGGACATTGTCCCGGGTAGTACATGCAGTATTCATTCGGGTGTCTAGAAGACATGACATGTGCAGAAATATTGCTGACAGCAGTAGTAGTCCCATTCTACTGGTAGTGTTTATAGTGCCCCCCTATATTGGCAGAAACATCAGTACCATTACAACTCTGTGTCTGAGTTGAGAGGTCTTGCTCGGAATGTTCCGGGATCTGTTCGTAGGCGCTAAGCTGAGTTGCCCGTTCCTTACCTTGCTGTTCCCATGGCTGTCGGCCATCGCATTGCGGAGCCACAGCTCCCCGCTGCGACCACTGCTACTCCTGACAAACGCTGACCCAGCTGTAGCAGCTCTTCCTTCTTGCCGCTACTCTTCACGGACCCGGTGCCGCTGTGGCCGCTTGGCGCAGATCTCGCTTGGGCGCGTTGAGTTTGGGTAGCTTTTGGCTATGAAAATTAGGAGTGGTTGAGTATACTAGGCAGCCCGTAGCAAGAGCAGAATTGCACAACGACCAAGTATTCACTTTCTTCGACAACTGGCCACCTTGGCTTTTGCCTTCGGATCCTCCTTCTCCTCCTCTTCCGGTACCTGAGGCCCCAAGCCACGCGCATAACGGACTCCGGAACCCGATTGTCTAGTCTAGTCAGACGAAATCCACGGATCAGCCTTACGGTTCGCAAAGTCAGTGCCTTAGGGCGACCATGGTCACAAGAGGAAAAACAGCAGTTGCTGTCAGTATCAGCAGCATCACTACTGGTACTACTGGTGAGCGTTCCCTCTTTCCGTTCACGCTCCGCTTATCCAGGAAACAGGAAACTCGCCTTGAGCACAAAGCGGATCGGCACGCGTATAACGACCAGTAACGAGCAGTTGGCCCATGGTGTGTATTATTACGCCGTGTGTTCGGACTGTGCTGGGTTTGGGGGGCGGGGGGGGGGCAGTTTTGTTCACTTCGGACATCACCCTAATCTCCGAACATTTCCGATGTCTCTTGGCTCGGCGTGGAGCCTTCTGGCTCGCATGCTTCGAAGTGCCCAGCGGCAACACGTAAGCTCATTCCGCCAGACAGCAACAAAACAGTAAGACAACGACAATCAACGGCAGCAGCCGGGTCGCCGTGCTTCAGTGGCTAGCGTTCAACTTGTCGATATGCTGCTACGAGCAGCCCAGGCTCCCTTGGACTGGCGTCTCGCACGTCTAGACGTGCTGCCTTTTTGGGAGCGAGAGGAGCGCCTCGAGGGCTTTTGTCGGCCACTCAATGCTGCAGTGGAGGTTGTGATTATTTGTATGTTTGCTGATTTGCGCGCCGACGGTGTGGCATGGACGGCTTTCATAGAATGCGCTTCGTTGCTCAGCAGCGCTGTGCGCCAGCAAATGCACCGCCTCCAGGCATCTCCGCGAGTCATGTCGTTGGCGTTCAAGCATGTGCTTGCTTTGAATCCTGCCGTGAATCGCTTGACCGCGCATGCCCAAGCAGTTCCGCGAAGCTCTAGAAGGCCTTCTCGAGAAAACCAACTCAGGCGCGTGCCTTGTTTGTCTTGTAAAACCGAGTGCATTCCTGTTCTCTGGATAGCCCGAAAATCATATTTCGCCTCGTAAAAACCACCCCAAAACACCGTTCCCCATGCAAGTGAGGGCAAAAGCACGATTGACTTCGTCGGTGAGCCGATCCTCTACAAAATGCACACACAAAACTGGCATAAGAATCATCCCGGCCAAGACAGCGAGGTTGTTTCGCACGCGGCGTAATACGAGCTGTGGACCTAGTTGGCATGCAATGTTAACCAGAACCACAGAAGGTCAGCTGCCCTTTACTGCGTCCGCAGTACAGTACACGGGCTCCGAAACTCGCGATGGAAAGGTTGCTTGGCTCCTGGCACTCGCCTCGAGTGCGGGCGGACGGAAATCGTCCAACCTCGTCACTGAGGGATAGGGAATCGGTGACCACAAACACCAAAGTCAACTATCGCAGCCCCACAACATTGTACATAGCTCCATAGGTTTCGGACTAGAACCAGTCAAGCTATCGTCACGCGAGCCCGCGGAAAACGAACAGCAGCAACATCAGCTCTTGCAACACTGCTGCAATCATGACGAGCTAAATCTCGGTGGATGAGCGCTTGCTGCAGGGCCAGGCCCTTTCCGGCTGAAGAGCACCTACGACCTAAGGTCCTGTGACTGAGACGGTGGATCGAAGGATCCTGCACTAGGAGTCTACGAGCCACACAGCCCAGCCTGCAATTCAGGAATGCCCCTGCTACACTCCCGACGTCAACCTTGTTTTGGGCCACCACCCCACCGGAGGGAAGGTTACAAACGTGTGGAGGCGTCATAGGGCTCCTCACGGAACAAGCCCGCAACATCCTGGTGCCCCGGCTTCCACACGGCTTTCTGCGCCTGGTCCATCAGGTCCTTGAAAGCTAACTGCAAGTCTGCAGGGACTTTCGGGTTCGGTGGGCAGAGGTCGTACGAAGAACGGAAGAACACTGGTGATGACAACTGTTCTGATAGCGAAGGAGAGACCACGTGGCTACCGCTCAGTTATATACAGGGAACAGACATGTGCATGATGAGAAACAGACTGACTTCTGAACCTCTCCTAAAAGTTAAATTTTCAGCCTACGTATTATAGTTCACATAGAAACCCAAAAAAGATAGTCCCAGGAGCCAACCAGAAGAACGCCGAGAAACCAAATGAAAGAGGGACAGCTCCGACCAACAGTTTTTGCTTGATGATGGCTTCGGAACGGTCTCCCGGGCTTTGTCGCCGTATAGACACCAAGTCAAGGAACGACAAACACGCCCATAAGTATCACGAACAATCACAGTGCTCAGCACACCGGTTATGAAATCCGCTGCAGAACAGAATCATTAACGAGGTGCATTTGAGCAAGGACATGCATTGCCATGCCAAGGCTGCTGCGGAGAGGAAGGGGAACTCCCAATTGCCAGTAGACCTCAGGAATGTCAGACTCTGAGCATCCACTTCTAAATGACAGATACGAGTCGGATGTTGAAGCTTGTCACGGTGCTTGTTGATTTGCTTCCGAGGCGTATAGAAGGCTTGTTTCCCTGCCAAGCTTCGGGCGGTTACTTGCTCTTCGTTGTGCGAACCCAAAGCCAAAAAGTCTCACCTCAATCTAAGGCCGCCACCCCTCCTCGACCGGCTCGACCCATCGGCAGAGTCTCGCTGCAGCCTCCCGACTAGCAGTACGAGCCGCCCAGAGAGGCTTTACAGGAAGAATGTGTGAACTTCGCAAGTTGTGATCTGCATGGAGCTCTGTACGATGCCAGCTTTTCGCCTATGAGTGTAGGGAGCTGAAGGCCCTTCTTGCCAAAGGTATCTTGGCCGTACAAGCCTGTAACAGGCCATCTCCGCTTTTACATGTCTCAGATCTCTAGGAAAGAGTGGTTGCACTTCAGAGTCCAAGCTGAGGAAAGCCTGATGTGGCCTTCGAATTGTCGGTGCATGCTGTCGGAATTTAGGACTAAGGTGCTTCATGAGCACAAGTTGCAGAATCAACATAAAACAAAAACATGTGCATCTACACACAAATATGTATATACATATATATATATATAAATATTTTTTTTTGTTTTTAGTATCCCCCCGAGTTATCCACCAGTTTGGCTTTAAATCCTATCTGTTATGCAGTTATGCCCCTGACCCTCGCCCCCTTACTCTACATAATGCTGTGTGTGTATACTCTGAACTCCATTACGTGTGCTGCAATACAAAGACTACAGACGATACTTGGTAGTAGAACTCTCTTCGCACACCCCGTGAACCCTATTGAGTTCAATAGGCCC